ATTTCCAGTTTGCGGCTTTACTTGTGCTAACTACACGTTAAACGTTTATGATTTTGTCTTCACTCCAACTCCAAAGTCGTAGAGACTTATATATGTTTGAATACCCTGAACCCGCTGAAAATGGGTATATTGCTTGCATGGCAGTGTATGTAACGGATATCGCAAGCAGCCCCATAAACTTTATATATTCTTGATCAGTATAAAAAGCTTAGTCCATCTAGCCATGTCCGCCTCTCCGACCTTCTGGCTGCACGCGCTGGTCTTGGAGACCTAGAGTCTAATATAACATGTGCAGAGCAAACTTGATAAATTTCTGATATATTCTCATATTTCTATAATATTTATCCTATAAGGCTTGGTTCCTTAGCATAGCTCGAAGACTTTTAAAGTTGCATAAACCGAATTTTGTATCTAGGTTCTCGTATAGACTACATTTAACTTTCTAAATACCTCCGAAATTTCCACATGAATGCCGAAAATGTCAAGATCGGACGGTAAGTCGAAGCTGCACTTTGTGTAATGTGTGGCTGTGAGAAGATGGCGTTGTATATAGAAGGAGGCTGTGCTCAGGGTATCTCCCAGTCGGTCACTTCTACTAGATCACTTTTACTTGTTTATTTTTTTTCTTGGGCTCGCTTAACACGAGCCATACTCACAGCTTGTGCGGTTGTTGCTCCGTCATGACGCGATTCATGTACTTTGACTGGCCTCAAAGTGAACGATGATGGGTACATGCATAAATATGACGTTCATTCAGACTCAGTGGCATTTGTAAGCAACGCATATATGTATGTTTGGCCAACTGATTAGCAGCCGGGCTTGCCACATGGCCACACGGCACTTTTGGGCAAATTAGTGAGCGTCGGGAGCTGGCCGGCCATCAATAGATCTATGGTTCGGGGATTGTGAATACAATGTGTGCTATGGCCTTTCCTAATGTCTTTACTACTACTACTGATTCTTTGGACCACGCCGTTTGCATTGGGTATTGCCCAACTAACTTCTCAGCTTGTGTTATCAATTAGTATCAAAATTTTGTTTGTGTGCTTGCGAATATATGAAAACAAACAAGAACAAACAATGTTGAGCTCACGACTTTTAGATTCCCTATACAAAACATATGCATATATGTATATCTAATGTTAATTTTAGTTTCAAAAATTGTTTCACATGTAACCATACTCGTGATGTCATAAGTATAATGTAATCTGCCTTTGTACTGGCATATACTTATAAACAAATCCTTTCTAACTATACCAGGCGTATACATAACTTTCGCAAAAGCCCCACAAGACGCAAAAGCTGCCATCACAACATTTTGTTTATTTTCCTTGTTGTTCAACTATTTTGCACTGTTTAGCTTAATTCGCAAAGAGTATTATAATTGATTGAGAAATGGATACGCTACAGCACAAACAAGATTTATTATGATATGTTATGATGTATTAAATAATAGCTTTTTCTTAGTTACGTATAGTATAAATTATATATGTACATATATTATTAATAACAAAGATCCGGGTTCAAATTCTAGGCTAGTATCTGGCCAATATAAACCAACTATAGCAAGTATACAAAATGATATATAAAATATAATAATAAAATACACAATAATGATAATAAATATAAAGATAATAATAATAATAATAATAGTAATAATAATAATAGTAATAATAAAAATAATAATAATAATAATATTAATAATAGTGATGTGAGCATTAATAATAATACTAATCTAAATATTACTATTAATTGTAATATATAGGATTAAAAGGGATTATAAAGCATGTCTGATAGCTATCAAAACAATATTATTCGATATGCAACAAAGCACAGAATAAGCTATAATTTGTGAGCCGATAAACGTTTTCAAGGTCACAATAAACCGACTAAGCAGCGGACTCTTTCGGCTAATACGAACAAGAAGTTGAATTTACATTTATCGTTGCAAAAGCCAAACGAAAATCCAATTGAAAAATCTAACTGTTTCTATGACGCTGGCAGTAAAGTCGTGTAACATTGTTAACAAACTGAATCTAGTTGTTTAATTGCAAATCACTGAATAATAGCATATACATATATATATATATATATATCTGTTGATTCGGTTAATAGCTGCTTATTAATATGCCAGTCAACAGCCAGAGGGCCTTTCGAAAAGTTTCCGTTTATCAATGAAAAAAAGCACCTGGGGGTTAGCGGTCAAGTTGGATAGCCCACGCCCCCGGCACGTTGTGCTAATTTAATTAGAAATGTATTGATTTCATGTGTGGTTGCTAATTAAAATTATTGCATATATTACCTTATTTTTGATTGCTATTAAGCAACATGCTTTTGTTATTGTTTTTTATTTTCCTTAGTCTGCTTCAAACCAGAAAGTTATTAGCCGGCTAATGACGCTGCACTTTTGGAGCATGACTTTTGAAAAGGCTCCAAACTTTATATAGGGTATATGTATATGAAATTTGGATAGAAGTGAAATTGAAATGTTTCAAACAGTTTGCGGCGCTGACAAACTGCATCACCTTGGCTATTAATCAAAGACGCGCATCTGCAACAACATTTAATATATGCATAAGCATTTTAATACACAAATTATTATTAGTTATGAGTCAAAAGCGTTTTGCCATGGGCTAAGTGGAGCTGTGAGGCGGCGGTAGCTAGATTGTTTCACCGCGTACATTTATCATCGATGTTGGTCAGCTGTTTTTTTTTTTTTTTTTTGTCGACATTTCAGCGACTTCCGACAGCCGGCATCTAACCAAGACCTAGACCTAGACCGTGAAAGCAAAATAAAAAAAAAAACAGACACACACACACACCGGCTACAAATCCGGCTCATGCCAAATGAAACGAAACTCATGGTGCGCAGAATTGATCAAGCCTTAGACTAAATCGTGCTCATTATGATAACCGTTAGCAACAGCATCGACTGCAATGTCATCCTGCTGCCATTGAGACACAGTTCGCTGTGGCTTTGCCAACATGGCCGAAATAATCAAGTGCCAGAGGGTCAAGCGCACTTTAAAGAACCATTTTGGACAATGTTAATTTGTCAAATGAGAATCATTGTGTAAGTGTCTTAGCAGAGCAGTCAGTCAATTGTTGTTGCACGCGCACATCTCAATGGCATAATTAAGATTTTATTTTGTTTACAAAAAATGACAAGCGATTGCGACCTCGTCCATGCACGTCCGCGCCCTGCCACGATCCACAAATACTCACATACATTTTGTTATAAACGAAGGGTCTTACGTTCTTGGTCACACGTAAAATTTTGGCTCAGAGTCCAACCTGAGTAGTTTATAGATCTTAACGCATGTTGATCGATAACGAGACGCTTCTGGATGCCACTTTTATTTGTTGATCACATATTCAAATGATTTACGCCAAGGGTGTGCATAAAAAAACTGGCTTGGAAACATCGAAAGTCTAAATATATATGAATGGGCAACCAGAATTTAAAATTAGACTTGAGCTAACAACAGCAACAGCCGGCGAATGGCTTATATTATACCAAATTCTTGTTTTGGTTTCACTATTTCATTTTTTTGTTCTTAACAGTCTGGCATAAGAGTCGATTATTTCGGTATTAGACTTAACTTTGACATCCAAACATACTTATTTGAAAGTTTCAGTTGTTGCTATTATTATCCACTCTCATATGAAAATACTTACTGCACTTATTATCAAATTTAATGTTAAGCACAAAACCTTTTTTTTATTATTTTAATACTCATCACATAAGCCAAAAAGCTGACATTTGTTCCATAGTTCCTGAACTGTGTGCATGTCTGTATGTATCTTATGTGAACCCGTTTTATATATGAACACTTTTTGATCTTCGGGAAGACTTAAAATCATTTATAAAAAGCATAAAATTCTAAAAATGTATATTAGCTAGCAACGCACAACCGATTAGGAATGTTGCACTTAAAACCCAAGAAATTTTATGCACAGTCTTAGAATAGCTAATAAGTAATTAATTAGATTGTTTTATGAGTAAATGAAACAAACTACACAACTATCGCCTGGACATATGCATATGCATATGCGCACAGCCCAGCATAGAGATGAAAGAAAATAAATATGCATTTAACCAGTTTTGTGAGTGACAATAATTAATGATTTTTAGTGCAAAACTCAATTCAGGCAAGTAACAAGTCTGACTTAAATGTTATTAAGCCAAACGCATTTGACCTGTTTTTCTTTGATTCGAAATATTATTTTAGTGAAACAATCCTTATAATATTATTAACATAAATATTGCCAAAAATATTTTACTTTATATTTAAGTTTGGATTTACCAGTAAAGTGTGTTATAAAATTGATATTGAGTATATATAAATATTGAGTTAAATTTAAATAAATTTGTATTCAACAGTTTAAATTTACATACTGTATTTAAGCTAAGGTTTTTGGGTTTTTAAATCTCACATTGATCCAAACTAGTTTATTAAGACCATCCCCCGTTTTGTAGTGCATTGACCCATAAAAATTGCAATTTGCCCGCTCATGAGCACAACAACAACAACATGAGCAACAACAACAACAACTGCAAAGTTGAATGCCATTCGGAACTTGCTAAATCAGCTAACACCAGAGCGACGCTCAGTGGGCCAAGCCAAGCTGCACACACAAACACAAACACACACACACAGTCACGAAATAAGCAGCGCTTAGAGCCGCAAACATCTACACATGCACACAGAAACTAACACAAACACACACACACAAGCGTCGAATTTAACGAAACTTCCGCCGTTCTGTGTGGATGTTAACAACGTTCGTCAAGTTTTTGTGCTTAGGCCAGGCGAGCCAATCTACGAATATGTGTATTATTGAGTGGCCGTGTGTGTGTGTGTGTGTGCGTGTGTAGACTGGGGTACATACCCGTGCCTACTTGCACAGCGCTGCCTGCGTTGGCGTCGCTGCCGGCGCTGCTGCTAAAAACTTACTTTATCTTGTGATTGCTGAGAAGTTTTAGATTCAGTTGAGCATAAACATTTCTACGGTGCGGTGGTTCAAATTGGTGGCTAACTAAAATCAGCAAATGCTAAGCAGCGCGTGCTAATAACGAGACTTACAAATCAAATCAGATTCTATTAAAAAACAATCAGAAGTGCTGTGAATTTGTGCCCGTTTGGCCAAAAATAAACGAAATCTTCAAAACTAACTAACGTGGCAGCATGTCGTTTGCTCTTACCAGCTGACATTGACTAAGAGGCCTGTTAAGCGAGCAACACTCAAATAGGATACAGGATATATAAATATATATATATACATATATATAGGAATAACTTATCGTACATAGAGTTTATATACAGTCCAAAAAAATGGCTATGCAATACCACAACTACAACAGCAGCACACGCTACGAGATGGTCGTTGAGATAGCCAACATTGCATTAGATGAGTTTAAAACACATCATCTGACCCGCAACTACACGGGTCTGGTGCAGCGCTACTACCAGCTCGTCGAGGAGGATTACGGCGGTAGGTGTAAAATGTTAAAATGCTAAAATGCTTAAATGCTTAAATGCAAATTGCAGTTAGTAGCGCCCCTTGGCCATATCAAATGTGGGCTAATAATGAAACAACAAAAAAAAGCCCCTCATAAAGTTCAGCACATGCACAATGGGGTACGTCTGATGTCATTGCTAGGCCATCAAAGTGTTTGTCGAACACTCCGGGAAGTGGAAAACTTAAATGTTAGCCCATCTGGTGCACTGTCTCAATTGCCAGCTTACGCTGTAAGATCACAGCTAAGCGAAGACTTTAAAAAGCATACAACACGATGAGTTGCCAAATTTGATAGGATTTTGTTTTTTTTTTTTATTTTGCGTTCAAGCAAATCGTAACAACACAAAAATTGGCAAGCTACAAATCGGCAACAACACGAAGCGACAATAACAAACTTCAAAAAAACCTAAAAGTAACCAAAAATAAACAAAAAATACTTCTAGGACAATTAAAAAAGGTTTCTTTTGTGTATTTAATGGCGACCTTGGCAATGCCAATTGTATTTTTGACAATTATTAACGTAATTAAAATGTATTTACATAGTTGAACTTAAACATTTTTTATGACGCGACCGTCGTCATTTGTTGTGTGCAGCTGAGCATGTACAGTACATACAAAATGTATACATACGCATCCGTACAACAATAATAACAATAACATTTGCTGAAGATGATGCATATGCCATATGTGCTTACAATACGATTTATTTAGTCGTATACCATTTTTTTTTTCTATATTTTTGGTTGGTTTTTCGTTTTCTTTTTGAAACGTGTTTAATTATACACCAGACACACACACATACACACACAATCGCACACATCGCATATTGACATTCTTGACTGCCGCGCGCGGGTGAAAAGGTCAATGGAAGGTAGCAGCAATTAAAAGCAAAGCCGACAGCGTGAGCCATGCCAAACGACATAATATACATATAAGCAATAAATGCGAATGCCAAATGCTCGAAAAGTCCGCAATAAACTGAGAATTGAGGAAAAGAAAATTTTAAAAATCAAAAGACTTAGAACACAAACTTGACATGGACGACAATAGACAATTTTTTGCAATAGCTAAGATGGGGAAAATATCTAGGGTACAAGCATAAAAAGCAGAAGATAAATATGCATACATATAACTATATATAAATAGAGATAGATGCAACTGTAAATGGAGAAATAGATATTTAAATTCGAAGCTAGATATTCCAAAATATTTGGATATTGAGATATATATTGATTTAGTTGCAGATATTGATGTTGACAAAGATATGTATATATAAAGTTATGTACAGATATATAAAGATAAAGATATCTATTTTTAATTGAGATATTGAGAATTGACAGGAGATGAAGCAGATATAGATATCCATAGTGATATGGAAATAGATATCAATATAGATATTGATAGTGCTATATATGTAAAATATATACATCTACTTAGACGTTATTTGGGTTTGGATTTTAATGACCTGATTTGGATTTTAATATTTGTGCTACATATATATATACAGACACGTGTGTCTTTGATTAAGATAGACCTAGTCAGACGTGATTTGGTTATAGTTTTAGTCAGAATATAAAGGCACAAACTAATTAATAAATCAGAAATCCAAGCAGCGTATATAACTTTCAATTAGTTTAAAATTTTTATTCAAAATAGTTTTTAGAGCTCAATAATAGATTGCATAACATTAACAGAGGCATAGAGCAAATAACTCTTTTAAAATTCAAGAAATGCAAATTTTTTGACAAACACAAATTAAATATTTAGTTTTTACCTGAGATCCACATTATGTTAAATAAGGTGTCCAGCTCGTTAAAACCTTATGCTATGCAAATTTGTTGACAAAAATGTAGCTAATTAATTTGCAGAGCAACTATTGCAAAAAGAAACAGTGCAAGTTCTTCACAGTTCTAAAAATTTGAGTTGACGAATTGTTGATAATAAATTAAAAACCTTTGGACTCCATCTATAATTACGAAAGTCCATGTGCAGTCAATGACTGCGGAAAGGCTTTGCAGTGGAAAATTTCTAAACGAAAGATTTGTGATTAGCTTGAGGAATTTATACCGGAAAATTATTTATTTATGACGGAAAATTGATGGAAAAATCAATAACAGATTTGTAAATGGGGTTCACTCATAACAATCAATGACGACATTGCCGCCTAGTCGTAATAACTAAGCCAATTTAGAGCCCAGTACGGTTCCAGTAAAGTGTTACCTGCAAATCCGGTTTAAACTAATGTACTTCTTGTTGCTGTTGTTGCGGTTGTATTCAAATAAAACCCTAAGTGTAAACAAGTTAATTGTCCACTTGAGCCGCTCGCATTACACCCCGAGCCACAGAGAATAGTCAATAGAAACAAACAAACAATCCGAGCCGGCATATTGTTTAAGTTTTATTGTAGCTGGCCACGATTTCATTCATTCGTGCAAATTGGCCACTGACTTTAAGATTAATTCTACAGATTTATAAACGTTGAGTGCAAATAATTAAATGCCATTGACTCTACAATAACACACGGAATACGTCAGCATTTGCATAAGACGAAAGACGCGACAGAAGCGAGAGCGAGAAAGAAAGATGATTTAAATTTATAATTAATGTGTAATATATGTTATATATAATTTTATTCTGACTTGACAGATCCGCGTGCTGTACGCTTTCCCCTTATGGAGCATCCACTCTTCACATTCGGCCTGGTCGCCATCTATTTATCCTGGGTGCTGGTGTTGGGTCCTTTCTTTATGCGAGACCGCAAACCCTTCCAGCTGCGCCGCACACTTGTCGTATACAATGCCTTCCAGGTGCTGCTCAGCGGCTACATGTTCTATGAGGTAAGCTTTTGATTGCACTAGGAAGTGGCTTTTGTTTTTAACAACTTTATTAACGGGTTTCTTTTATTCTACAGCATTTAATGGCAGGCTGGTTGAACTACTACAATCTGAAGTGCCAACCGGTTGACTATTCGGATGGGCCCATGTCTAAGCGGGTAGGTTTCAAGAGACTGCATATACGCGAAATATTCGATTTTTATTAGCACACGCGGCAAATTCTATGCAAGCTATAAAAATTAATAGTTGTTCCCAGTTTTATTAACTTAACATTTGCTACCCCGAGCCCATTAAATAAGTCTAAAACAGACAGAAGAATAGATATTTTTGATCCCATAAAATAAACAAATTCTTGAGCAGGACGATACAACAAAAGCGAAAGCATTTTATTTGTAATGAAAATTCTCCTATGCCATACGTCAATCTTGTAAGTCTCTTTCAAAATTATTAGAGCTAGAGCTAGCTTTACCAAATATTGTATGTAGTTTCTTATATAGTAAAATATGTAATTCTTTAGATAGCTTTGTCCTCAAAAAGGGGAAAGAAAAGCCTAGCGCTTTGGTTTAAGTCATGCGAATTTCATAAAGATCGAAGGTTAAACAAGACTGCATTTCTTAGAAATCATGTGTGTCTGAAAGAAGTAGTGAAGCACAATGCAGAGTATCTGCCGGTCGTGCACGGCCGACTCGAGCACTTTTACTTGTTATATCTTTGCTGTCTGCGCAGCAGTTCGTTGCCTCTGGATGAATCATTGGCCACGTTCGTTTTCAAGTTCAGGCACAGACAGTACACAAAGCGATTTTTGACCAGTCATTTGGTCAGTCGTTTTTTTTTTTTTGTTCATATTTTTGTTGCCAACATTAGCTTAATTATGGCTTCTGGCGCTGCCAAAGTCGAGTAGAGCCAAATTGAATGCGCGTTTTGGTTCTTGCTAATCAACGCGCAATTTGTTACGCCTGTCGATCTTATTGTTCGCACAGAAAGCTCTCAAGCTATTCAATTTGTGTGGCGTAAAAGCATTTAAATAAATAATTGGTTAATAAGCGTTTGAAGCTTAAATGCATAATTTGGCACCAATTTTGTAAGGCATAAAACCTAAATGGCGAAGCTGAAGCTGAACTAAAAAGTGCAACAACCCAAAAAAAAATCGGAGAAAAAAAAGCAAAAAAAAATAGACAAAAAAACACATAAATTTACATAGCTGTTGGAAACCAAGGCTGTGCATTTTTATGGTGCTTAGCAGTCAAAGTAAACCACATTTGTCAAAAATATAATCAAACACTTTAGGCCCAGTTTGGGCTCTTGTTTGAGCCGCAAATCAATGAGCTGCGAAACTCATAAAATTCGATATTGGCCGTAAACCAGGCGCATATTAACACAAACCCGAAGACACGCTGCTCGCAGAGCATAATCCTCCACACTCTGATATATTTCACATCCGCCAGGGAAAAATCGTGACAAAGAAAACAGTCCATAAACTGAAGGTCAAGTGCTGGATGCCACAAATTTTCAGCTGCGGCGCTGTTGACACCGATCGTAAAGCTTGTTTGTATTGCGCATACGCACTATGGCCCGCACAAAATGTGACAACACGGCGAAATGCTTGAAATGGAAATTGTTTGCCAATGTCATCAACAAGTTTTAGCCACGCTTCAAGAATTGCTCATCAATACGACCTTGCCGCCAGCTAAGGCCCAGCTCTCAGCCTCTCTCACTCTCTCTCACTCTCTCTGACTCTCTCTCTCTCTCTCTCTCTTTCTTTATAGATGCTGAATCTGTGCTACATTTATTATCTGTCCAAGCTAACCGAGTTCGCCGACACCGTGTTCTTTGTGCTGCGCAAGAAATCATCGCAAATAACCTGGCTGCATGTCTATCATCATTCGGTGACGCCGCTGGAGACCTGGGTGCTGGTCAAGTTCCTCGCAGGTGCGTTGAGATATATAATAATAAATAAATTCCATACAGACTTGACTTAGTTTCAATTTGATTTACATAGGCGGCAATGCGACATTCCCCAATCTGCTGAACAACTTTGTGCATGTGTGCATGTACTTCTACTACATGATGTCCGCCATGGGACCGGAGTATGCCAAATTTTTGTGGTGGAAGAAATACATGACGGAGCTGCAGATCGTAAGTGTCGCCAAGTCATCATTATCAGAATAAAATCTGTTCCAGCATACCATATAGTTAGTTGGCTAGCCGCCACGCGAATCTACTTAGAAACTTGTTTAGAAGTTTGTCTTGGTCGAAAAATGTATATTATATATATATATATATAAATAGTTAACTAAGGCTCCGGCAGAGCCCATTGGCAAACCTGTTAGACCTGACCGCCGTCACATAAAATGGTATTAAACGTGCTGGATATACCTATTGCCAAAAACCCCAAAAACCAAAAAAAAAAAACAAAAAAAACATGTTACTTAATGCTTCTAACTGTGTCTTGCAACTGGCCAGGCCAAGTCACACTCAGCTGCAAGTGGAAGTGGTTTGTGTTTAACACACACACACATACACACACACATACACGCACACTCAGGCAGACAGCCAGACAGTCAGACAGGCAGCGACTCAGTCAACGCTTCAGCCAAAGGCCAAGTTGGCAGATTTTCAGTTTGTCTTTTGTTTTTATTTTTGGTTTTTTTTTTTTGCGGCTTACATAATTTGTGTCCGTTATGAACATCGGCTTCAAGCACTTGGGGTTCATTGCGCCGCTTGTCACTTTCTTAGCTGGCCTCAAAACGCCCCACGAACTGTGTTCTACGACCTGTTTATTGGGCACGACAACTAGTTAATGTTTTAATGTAATAACTAAAATATCTAACTATGCTGACCAGTCAAGTGGGTTTTTGTTTTCGTTTTCATTTTCGTTGTTAATTAAAGCTCGATTTTACTTTCAGCTTTAGTTTTAGATTTCAATTGGCTGCTTGTCTTTCCGTTTTCTCAGTGGCGATGGCATTTGCGCCACTCCACTGATTTTCCATGCAGTCTTCCAATGTGTGTGTGTGTGTGTGTAAGACCAATACACACACACACACATGCACACATGGTATGTATTCGTCGGTAAATACGTTTTCATTGCAGTATTTCAATGTTGCGAAATTCTTGAAACGCATAAAACTTGCCGAGTTTAGTTAGTTCTGCTACTGTTGTTATTTGTAAGTTGTTGTTATTATTGTCGCTGGCCTGCTTCTAAGTATTGTCTGTGTGTGTCTTGCCTTGGGGCTCACTGGGCTACACAGTTGAGTTGTCAAACGTTCGGTCACTTTGTAGGCATTAAAGATGGGCTCGTCTCCGATCTTGAGAACACGACACGCAGCACAATTCGGAAATATGACTCCTCGCATATATTGTTGTTTGAAAATGTATAAATTAAATTTTTTTAAAAATAATTACATTATTTCTCATGCCTAAAACGTTTGTTCAATATAATTAAAGTCAGCTTAATTTACATAGAATATTTCTAAAGTTTTTTGAAATTTATCGTGTTCACGTGCTCAACACGTGTCACGCACGAAGTTAGTCTTTTCTCGTGTTGACTCGTGTCACGCTCCCAACTCTAATGTAGATGCATGCAAAATGCACATTAGACGCACGGCTATATATGCTCGTCTAGATACATATAGATGTACGCCTCATGTTTAAACTTCGCTTGATTCTTTGAGCGCAGTTGACATTTTTTTTGTTTTTTTGCTTTAATGACACGGCAATCAAATGCAAACTGCATAAGCAGATAAACATGGGCGCATCAGGCGCATAATTTAGCTGCCGCAGTGCGCTGTTGTTGCAGCAGCAGCAGCAGCAGCAGCTCTTTTTGTTGTTATTAGCCACAATTGCAGCCGCCACAATATAAACAATATTATGAATAGCACAAACACACAGTCTAATTTGGCAAGAGACGAACAAGTTTAAGTTCCAATTAGCCAATGCTGGTCACTGCCGCTTCGGCTGCGCCTGCTGTTGCCCGCTTTTGTTGCAACATCCTTGCATTTTGGTTGCTGCGCCAATTCCACAAATTGCCACATTTTCGCGCGCTCCGATCCGACCAGTTTCGATTACATTATCTTTGGCTTGGCATTCGCCATTTGCTGTTTTTGCCGTTGTTCCGTTTTGCGGCAATGAATGTGCCTCGTGCTCGTGCTCGTTCGCCGCGTTCACTTTTATGCGCCGCCGCAGCGAACTTGCCACACCGTGTGAGTGTCTATGTCGACGACAGCCAGCGCCAGTGAGCCATAGCCACAGCCACTCCATCCATGTGTGTGTGTGTGTGTGTGTGTGTTTGTCTGTGTGCATTTATGGGTAAAAGTTGACCGGCAAATTCCCGCTTTCGGTTTCCAGGCGCCTGTTTAGCCCGTTTGCTAATCCCAACACTCGTTCACATTACAAGTGCAACTGCATATTTTCCAACTGCCACACTAGACCTCCCGATTGCGCAACCAATTGTGCAGATGGCGCCGGCGCCGTCGTCGTCGTCGCAGCTGCCACAGTGGTATTCAGATCTGCATCTGCTAAACAATTCTCTTAATACTTAAATTCATTTCTTGGCCAATGAACAAAATTGCATGCGCAACAATTCTTACACGTTGGCCAAAAACAAATCAGATCAGTTCCATATTCATAGCCCGGCTATATCATTAGTAAAACACACCTTGGCAAATTATGCAAGAATTTCGCATAATACACAATCATTAAAAGTGGCTAAGACGGGGTATGCTGCAGTTGTGCAAGTGGCAGTTTTCATTACACACGCCATTTCTAATCGCCAGATCCGGGGTATGTGCTAGTTGGGCTAGTCATCTCTGCAGATTCCTCCAAATACGTCATATCAAAGAAATTGACTTTTTCTATGGGCGTCAAAGACTCGGAATTCACACTCCAACTCAAAAAAGTATTTCCGCTCTAAGTGCTTAGGGAACGAATTAAGATCTAGCAGTTCGGAAAATAACTTATAAATATAGCCTATATTCATATTCATAGTAATAATACTAATACCAAATAATAATATAATTCAAGTTTTAAAACCATGAATATAGGGTATGTATGTATGCTAAAGCAAAATTCATTGACTATGTGACAGCCTTTGTCCTCAACTGCAAATGATGTCAAGCACTTGCAGATTAAATTAAGTTTAATAATACTTGTCCAAATAATACTTATGTTAAGAGCGAATGTCAAAATTGAAAATCTAACTAATTGAAACTTGAAAGCAATAGAAAATAATATACAGCTATAGGGAAACTTTGGGGCTTTAGAAACCGATATCAGACCGACAATATTGAAGGCGTTTCCATTGTTTTTTTTGTTTTTTTAATAGCTGCTTCCGATTTCACAGAGGCCATCAGTTGGCTCTAGTAATATGTTTGACTTCTTAACTCTTTGCGCACAAAAGCAACTACTTACATCCACCGTGCACTCAGATGCACTTGTACAAATAGACACACACACACACACACATGCAGACACTGAAACACACACACATGTGGCTGCAATTGCGTGTGTAATGGAGCGCTTAAGCGTTGACGTTTGCTTTCAACGTTCAAATGCGACCAATACTGCATTTGGCCAAAAACGAGTGGCTTTTTGGCCAGCCAACTCTTGGTCCACTGTCTCTGTGTGTGTGTGTGTGCGCGTGTGTGTATGGCTGCTCGTGTGAATCGTGTTGTTGGCTCAGTGACTTTGCAGCGTTTGGCATGGCTGTGTTAATGGAAACTTGCAGCGCTTGGTTGACCAACATGTTGCTCGTTGTTTGTAGGTCACAAAAAAGCGCAAGTTGCCAGCTAGCTGAAAACAAGACAGCAACAAAAACAAAATAAGTAAATAAATAATAATAATAATAATAATAGTAAAAAGTCAAAAACAAATAACTGGGCGTTCGCAACGTGGGTGTGTGCAGTCGCATTGGGCGAGGTGATGCCCGGCCATTCAATTTGCTAAATTGAAAACTGAAATATACGTAAATTGCCAGCCATCAATATCCATATTCATAACAATATCGATAATCGCAATCTGAATTATGGCTTGCATAAAGCGCACACTTATGGGGTGTCGCAAAAAAGGTCAATGAGAGCAGCAATCAAAAGACTTAGACAACGAACTTGTTAGCCGCAGACAGACAGAGAAGCGTGCAAACCAGTCAAAGTCAGCGCCAGACAAACAGGCAGCAATACACTGGGCTCTATATACTAGAAGCCATGCCTATATGACATTACAGTTATTATGGCAAATTGCAGTCTGTGTGTTTATAATGCACATATTCGTACACTTAGCGAAAAACACCATTCTAAATTCTAGTGTTATCGTAGCACACAGTTTGCATGCCTGTAAATGTAAAATCTTCTCAATGGAAGCACACAAGTCTCCACTCTCCACTTCAATGCTCCCCCCCACATACACACATTCTACTCCTGTTGCTAGCTGTAGATTTACAAACTTAGTGTTGGTAAATGGTTTATGTAACAGTAAAAATAAGAGTGTGGTCAGACTGTCTTCAAGACTTCGCAAAACTCTTGAGTTTTCTCCAAGTGTATGTTGGCCTGACAACAAGCCAAAACAACAGAAGCTGCGCTTGTAAACGATTTTTGATTACCTTGCCACGCTCAAGGGTGATTACGGCCCATGAGCGCGTAATTTGCCATTTGATTTGCGGGCAATTAAAATGTTCTGCGCCTGGCCACACTTCAGGGCTTACAATTTATTTTTGTGTTTCCTTCAGTTGTCGGTTCCGCTGCGAACCACGCCCCCAATTTAACTTAATGCCAGCCCTAGAACATATTCCCAGTATTGAAAGCCAGACAATTTCTAAACAATTCGCCTGAAATTCTCATCCTAGCTTTACAATTTAATTATATTCTTAATTTTATTTACAGGCGCAGTTTGTGCTTTGCATTGTGCACACCACACGGGCGCTCTTCAGCAATCAGTGCCAGTTCTCCAAGTTTATATCGGCGCTTCTGCTGCTGAATGCATCCATATTCTTCTGCCTCTTCATGAACTTCTATATGCAGAGCTACCGGAAGTCCAAGGCTCAGCAGCAGCAGCAGCAGCTGGCGGCGGAAGCGTTAAGCTCGAAGGCCGATGGCAACAACAACAACAACAACAGCGCACTACAACAGGATAAGCAGCAGCAACAGGAGCAGATCCTGGCGCACAAATTGAAGGCCCACTAGGCGCAATAGACAGACAAAATAACAGAGAGAACAAAAAAATGCCTCCAAGAGCTGCTCGCTTGCTAAAAGCTGTAAAATACAATAGAAATTGGTGTTGGTTCACAAAGCGGGCAGCTCGCAAATTTGGAAGTCGTTTTTGGTACAAAGGTTTTATTTTAATTCAAATGGGGAGCCATAAATGTGTTTAGCTAGAACTGCAAAAAATGCCCAACAAAAAAAATAACAAAAAAAATAAACAAACAAAAAAAAACGGAAGAGAATAAAAAATCGAATGCTTAGCCCGCATAGATTTTGATTTTCTGCCAGGGGTTATGCAATATAGTGTAGATAGAAAGATAAATATGTCTGGGTTTAATTTTGTTGCACCTACTGACCATATAGATAACTTTGCTTGATTGCTTGTCAATGTATCTTAGATAACTATTGTAGAACTGGGTCAATTTTTACGATCTTAAGCATAAGTTTAAGTCATTTAATTTTAGAACCTCGAAAATGCGCGCCGCTAACAAATAGATACATAACTATATGTATATATATGCATATTTATATATATATATATATATATATATAAATATATATGTATATATATATCTCGAATTTTGCCCAGTTTGGCAAACGTAACTCTTAAGTGTTAATTGTAATGTGTAATATGTGAGTTTTGTATATAGATTTTGTAAATGTTAAATGTTAAATATTTGTAGACGGTAAGCATAGCCTAAGCCAACTAGTCTTAGTTACAAAATGCGAACGAACAAACAGAGCAATAATAAAAGTTAAGACAAATATAAAAGAATAACAAACCGCGAACACATTCATTTTGCCCGTTTAAATGGGCAACGACAGAGACGCTTACAACAAAAAAAAAGAAATACAGAAAAACTAAAAAGCGTATTACACAATCAAATTTAATATTTGAAATTTTTTCAATAATTCCTTTTGTTTATTAAAATTGAATTAAATACAAAAATTGCCCAAAAATCGTAATGGGCTTGTGTCTTGACTTGAGCGGTCTACGCTTAGGCCATCATTGTTCGGTTCTGTTCTTCGCTGTATTAGCGCAGCCAACTTCACAGCTAAACAAATTGAGCAACTTGCAACCAAAGTCACCAGGGGGCGCTGTATTCCAACAACCCAAATTATATTTTAAGTTTGCCGCCAGGTGTCGCCCGCTGCTTAAGTTTCTTGTAATTTACGCTCGGTATTTTAACATTTAGCTGTATACTATGTTAATTTGCCAGTATGTAATTTAACAGTAACATTATCTTTTGTTAGCGATGTTATCAAAGTGTTTTCATACTCTGTAAAAAGAGCATTGTTTTATTGCGATTGAGTTATGAACAGATTAGTCATTCTGTCAGCAAATAATATTATATTAAACTTACTCATTGCTTGACATCTATAATATCAACTGTTCAGACTTGATGTAAAGCTGATATGTAACTGGCGATTCAATTGCATAGGGTATCTAACAGTCACCAAGTCACGCCAACAGTGGCATTCTGTCTTATTTTAACAGCTGGCTGTTAGTCTTATTGGACAGCTGCGCGAGTGCGGTTGTGAGAGAGAACTCGGTTGGCGATTGTATTTGTGCGAAAAGAAAAAAAGCGAAATACAATAAATTGAATTAAAAGGCGAGGCTTGTGCCAGTCAGCGCATTCGCTGAATATTATTTATTAGGGCATAGGCGAACAAATTCCAAAAAAAAACTCAACACCAAAAATTAATATTGATTTTGTGGCGTGCACAAAAAAAAAACTAACAAAAAAAGGCGACAAAAAGCAACCACTACGACTTCCAATAAGAGCCAAGATTATCTGTTGGTCTTGTTGAGAAATTTGCCAATTCTGCGACCACAACAACAGCAACAACAACAATGTAGACGCGTTTGTTGTTGTTGCTAGTAAGTGTTATTAACTAAGTCGAGTGTCAGTGTCGTTGTTAAAGTGCGAGCGAGAGCGAGCGATAAATGCAATAACAACAACGCCAACGCCAACAAAAGCAAAAGTTCAACACTGTGTCTGTGGTTGTGCGTGCGTGTGTGTGTGTGTGTGTATTTGAGAAGATGCAAAAGGCACACAAGAAAATGTGTTCAGCAAATTCAAATTGTCATTGAAAGTTGCTCGCAAAAAGCATACAAGAAAAATAAATAAATAAAAGGCGACCTAACCGGCAGGACGGCAGCTTTCTGGGAGTGGCCTTGGACTGCGCCTTAGCCATATTCCAATTGGATTGCGACCAACAAATAAAAATATATATATAAATACGCTATGTGGATACCATCGAACAACAAATACGGCGTCGGTGAGTAAAACAGTTCAAAAATTGCGTGTGCTTGTGTGCGTGTGTGTGTGTGTGTTTGTGTGTGTGTGTGTGTGTATGTATGTGGCTGTCGCATCCCTCGCTTATGGCCAAGGCCCAACAGCACCCCCTGAGCCGGTGTAACGGAGGTTTTGCTAAGCGGGGGGGGGGGGGGTCGGTGCGGTGCGCTGCGATGCGTCACGTGCACGATTACAACGCTTTGTTGTTATTGTTGCTTTGTAGCTGTTGTTGCTGTTGTTGCTGTTGTAGCCGTGCGTTGATTCACAGTTTTTTCCGCGAAACAGCGTGCAGCATCACAGACAGACAACCCCCCAGCAGCAGCAGCAGCAGCAACAACAATCACCTCCAGCCACCCACTGTAGCGGCGTGCCGGAAAGGCGGAAAAGCGATTTTTCTACTTATTTTTATAGCATGTTCGCTGCCGCTGCTGTTGCGCGCTTTCGTCCTCTTCTTCTTGCCATTTCTTTAGGCTTTTTATTTGCTGGCAGCGACGAATCTCAAAGAGATTTCTGTTTGCTGTTGTTCATGCTGTTGTTGCTGTTGTTGCTGCTGCGTTTTGATGTGTTTATGTTTTCATTTGCCCGTTAACCGCCCCGCCCCGCCCCGCCCCGTTGTCCGCCGTCCGTTCGCAATTGGCATCAAGCTCTCACTCGTGTTGCCAATTGTGTTGTGCGCCAGGTGTTGCCAATTTAAATGCCGCTGTAATTACCTAGCAACTGGCAACGTTGTTGCGGCTGCCACTGTAATCGTGACACTGGCGTCGTACAATAAACTTGTTTTGATAAGACTCGAGACTATGTACTGCCAGCAAATAAAAATGTATCTTTTCCTTTTCATACTCTACACAGGAAAGTATTATAATGTTGCTACGAAATGTGTAACTGCATAATAAATGTGCTATAAAGTATCAGATGCTATAAATTAAGCACGTATTTCTTCAGTCTAAGTTTTTATAATTTTCCTACTGAATATTTGCATAGGGTCGACATTTTGTTGTGTTGACTAGATAAATTACCAAAGCTCAAAATCAGACAAGGTCAAGGCGATGACGACAAACTACAAGAAGTTTCTTGCTTAAAAACTTATTTGTTTTTCAAGACTCTTTACTCATACTACACCTAATATTTTGGAGAGTATTGTTCAGCATCTTGTTACAAATAATTTGGAGAGACAATCGGCCAATGTTTAGTTTGCACTTATATCGGAATACTATATAGTTACTTTTTAATAGAATATGTGTAAGGGTATTTAAACTTAGGCATTTCGCAAACACAGTTCTTTCTCAGTTTTCACAAAGCTTGCTTGCAATTAGGTTATTTTTGTTGTTGTTGTCGTTTTAGTTGTTGTTATTGTTGTGTTTTCTCTGCACTCCATTTGTCTGTTTTATTTTCACATTATCAACGCACTCGTCATACTTTTCGCTTCAATGGCAACGCTTTACAAATGACAATTGCCTCGAAAGAAGTTGCCGCTGAAGCTGCCCCCGAACCTGCCCCCGAAGCTGCCCCTGAAGCTGCAGGCTTCACTTCCGTCTGCGCTCTGTGCCAGATAAGCGTAAGCTGTCATCTATATTTGCTTTGCTGCTGCTGCTGCTGCTGCTCTAGTTTCCACTTTTCATGCATCTGCTGCTGATTTGTGACATGGCAGCCGGTCAAAGTTTACTCAAATCAATCAGTCAGCCGTCAGCGAGGGCGTTTGGGTGGGGAGATCATCGACCAATGTAAACGCCATTAGCGGCTGGCACAGCCCAGCGAGCAACGCCCTAACCTTGCACAACAAACAGCCGCAGCGACTGCGGAACTGACTGTCATCCGACACGTGCTGCTCGGTTGCAGCTTTCAGCTTTCGATGCCTGGGCAATGGCTTCATTAACATCCGCATGCCGCAAGTCCAGGCCCGTCCAGGCACAGACCCTGGCCCGGCACACGTTCTTTGTCTGCTTTTGGAAGTAATTGCCAGCATTGTCAGGGCAACCAATCAGAGATTTTTAATACCCTGTACCAACTGAGTACCAGAGATGAGGGTATAATAAACTATGGCAAACAAGTGCAGCAAGCAACTAATTTCGCATGTCAAAAACAAACAGCTAAAGAATATTTTAATTCATGTTTATATTTATAAATACGTATAAAAAGTTTCAATTAAAATTCCAGCTTTTATATTAAAGTCAAACTCATACATAAAAGTTATAGGTAATATATCTTTTTCTACAAAAAAGTTTCTTATTTTTAGATAAAAGTAAAAGTTAAAAATTAAAGTAAAAATATTTTGGCTATATCTTTTTAATAACTTCATAAAATTATTTTTATATATTTGTTTTAGTTAACTTTCAATTCAATTCATAGTGTTTTACATTTATTCAGAAATTGAAAAATAAATATTTAAATCTTTAAAAAATAATAATAATAATATATATAATGAGGTTCAATTTGTATTTTGAAAAGTGATAACAGTTGCAGTTCCTCATGTAAATACAAATGTCTGTTGTTTGGTGCTGTTTTGCAGGGCATCTTATAGCCGTGCACACTCAGCTGGAGCTATTCCTTTTGCTCGCTCTCAATTACGCAGCTAGTCGGCGACAGTTTTGGGTGGTTGCATGCAACTGAAGCTGCTGGCGGCATTGTAGCTGGAAGTTGGTAGTTGGTAGCTGGGCCATGCGGGCAGTTTTATTTGTGCGCAGCGAATTGGCACAGGCCGCAGCTACTGAAA